AAAATGCTGCAGCGATTGTTTTGGTTACCAAAAGCCTTGAGATGACCTCTAATTTATGACCAGATTCACAGTGATTTAATTTGGTCCTGTAAACAAACTTAATTATGTCTTCTTTCTGTTTACTCTCCTGCTGTAGGAGTCATGGCGCAGAGCAGTCAGCACTGGAGTCCAACATGGCATCCCCATGCCCTGTTTCACTACCGCTTTGTCCTTCTATGATGGCTACAGACATGACAAGCTGCCCGCCAACCTTCTTCAGGTAACACAATTCTGGAAACGGTCACGCCTCCACTATAGGAGGTGTATCACAATAAAAGATCCCTTGTAGCTCGAGTCTTGTGCTGGAATCTAGATGCTATAAAATCCTTTTTTCATATCGTGAATCTTTTGGTTAAAATATTTTAAGGATTTGCAGATTTTAAAAAGGTAACTGTATCTGGCTTTGTTTTCAGGCTCAGAGGGACTACTTTGGAGCCCACACATACGAGCTACTCTCAAACCCCGGTCATTTCATCCACACCAACTGGACAGGTCATGGCGGAAATGTCTCCTCTTCATCCTACAATGCTTAAGGGAGATCTTCACAACACCCAAAAACAAACGCGATGGAAGACCGAGGACGAGGGGACGTTATCAACAAGTGAAGATTTTAAACATTCCATCTTTCGACTTTCCACCATCTAGAACCCAGAATCTACTTCAACCAACTTTTTACTTCTCACAGAGACTTGTTGCGGTTATATTTATCAAGAGGTGGAACAATAGATTATGTGCACTGTAGACACCTCCTGTGTATTTTGATGTAGTCAGAGGGGATGTGTGACTCCATCTCGATATTACACAGGCCGCCAGGATACTGTTCCACAGTTGTGTTGGGCACGGGGTCCACGGTGTTAACACTGGATTAAGGTGAACCCTTGCACTGTGCTGTGTTAGGCTAAATAAAGATTTTCAATCCCTCTATAATTAGCTTGAATGGTCCTTAACTGTCTGGATGCTGTAAACAGGATTGACGTGTGTGTGATAGTAAATAAGGCAACAAGTTACAGAGGACAGTGATATATAATTGTGACCTGCATTTTAAAGGCAAAGACATTCTGATCTACATAACCATTCAACACTGATGAAGACATAATTTATAAAACTACTTTATTTTAAAAATACCAAGTAGCTCCACATGTCTGATACGGTGGAGTTTTACACCACATGACACTCCTGACGCAACCCTAAAGGGGATGTGTCTCTGGTGGGATTTGAACCAGCAATCTTTTGCTTGCCAAGTGAATGCACAGCCAATTCCAGATGGTAAGAATAATTAAAATCTGTAGCTACACATACCGATCTGTATCAAAACAATATCAAAAATATTAACAGGTCACCACAGTGAAATGACAAAGCATTTCATGTGTTGTCTTTTCAGTGGTTGTCCAGCAGGTGGCCCTAAGACCCTGACACATTTCTTTATACATGCACAAACTCATGTTAACACTATTAAACCCTTCACTGTTTTAGTGGACACCAACGTGGAGACTTATTCAATGATACTGTAGCATATAGTACAATAAACTGTGAGACGACACAATGTTAGGTATGCTCTACAATTTAAATAACTGACTTCAAATACAGCAGGTCACTATAAAAATTACAGCACAAGTTCAAAGACTCATTTAAAACTCAGCATCACAAGTTTCCCTAAGGTGACATTACTGTAACTGATTTAAAGTATTAAGATGCTGTAGTGTCCGGCCTCCATATACTCATACATTACTATAATACGGTGAACACAACACCATCATTGAACCCTATCCTGGGTCTGGACTGTTTAGGATTGGCTTTGAAACCTTAGAAACAATTCTTAGATAAATAAACCGCTGTTTATTGGGTAAACTGCTCATCAATGCAAATAGTTAATCAGCCAGTCAGATAGCAGCAAATTAACGCATGCAGGCTTGTAGACGTGGTTAAGACAACCTATTGAAATTCAAACCAAACATCAGAATGGGGAAGAAAAAGCGACTTTAAACGTGGCAGGGTTGTTGGTGCCAGACAGGATGGTCTGAGTATTGCCAAAACTGCTGATACAAGTAGATTTTCCTGCACAATCATCTCTAGGGTTTACAGAAAATGGTCTGGAAAAAGACAGTAACAAGTGAGCAGCAGTTCTCTGGGCAAAAACTGTTGATATCAGAGGTCAGAGGAGAATGGCCGAACTGCTCGTAAGAAGGCAATAGAGCGGCCAAATAACCACTCATTA